AGAATGGAAAAAAAGTGACTTGGGACTGATATTTTACAATAAATATGAAAAAAATAATAATAAAAAAGTGACTTGGTAATCTGAAAGTGAACCTAGGTTAGAAAGAGAGGGGAGGTACCCGCGGTACCCGCCAAAAGTACCGCCGGTACCTCCGGGAGGTGCCTGGTGCGGTACTTGGTACCTATTTTTTGAAAAAAATCAACAGGTACCTAGGTACCAACAGGTACCCGAGTACAAACGAATGATCTCTATAGAGTAGTGATAAAAAACACAGACAATACAAGATTGCAACATTTTTTATGCAATGAACTGTGTGATTTCATAAATTTTGACCAATTAGTGATAGAAACAACCATAATCTAGATCATATTTTGACATCCTTGTAGCCTGTTCAGTCCCACTCCTGGCCTCGTTTTTTTCCTCACTGGTATTGGAGACCAGGACTGTGTTGAGACAGACAGGGGGAGACAATGACTGAATTTCATGGACACAACTTCTGTGACACTTCAGGAGGGAGAAAGGAAAGGTCATGGCTCTGGTTCACTAGGGAAGAAACATCTCAACTAGCCCTGAGAGGAACTTCATACAGGATTTGTCTTATGATTTGATTGAAGCATACTCTGCTATAAGCATATGATCTAACAGACTGTTGAGATACTAGATTATCTCTATAGCTAGTGTATGCTTCTACTATCTTAACCCACAACTTAGTCTGGTTGTATTTCACTAGTTGATAGCTTAAATCATGAATGATTGTTATGTTTTGATGAAACCATAATGTGCTTGGACTATTTCCTTGCCCATGTCACTGAAATCTCTCTTACATAGTAATTGTGTCACATCTTTCACCCTCATCAGGTACTTCTACACTCCAACAGTCTACCATGACGGGAATATACTAACAAGTACCCAGTTGCTTTGATCATCTTACACTATCCTTGGGAGGAATGAAAATTGGGAGTGGAATATGAGTTCATGAAACCTCATGGGCTGTCTCTCTGGGGACTTGGATCCTAGTGCCATCTTGATTAAAGATTATGCCACATGCAATTTTGGTAGTGAGATTTGTCAGATATTACAAAAAAAAGAACATTCAATTTCCACTTATCTGACATTTACACTTGTTAATGGTTTCTCATTTGATTCCTCTCAAAGGACACCAAATCTTGGAATCTGTGGTTAATTGGGGATCTTGGTTAAACAACTCCCAAATTCTGGAGGAATGACTCTAAAATTTGGTTGAAATCCACCAAATACCTGAAAAACATCCTCTGAGCTTTACAGGAGCCAGATTCTCAATCAAGCTAGTTTGAAGTTTAAATTTCTCAAAGTGCAGGGAAGTTTGGCAGTCAGACCCCTACTTTCCTTGAGTTTTTTTTCCAATTATTTCATCTTTTTTTTGAAGAGCTGTACGTAACAGACCAGGGCTAATCCTCCCCACTAGCCAAGAAAAATCCATCCCCAGCTAGTGGAAATGCTTTGAAACTAGCAGTTCAGGAGGAATTTGTTGTCCTGGGAAAATTGGATTCATGTTATATAATCAGGCTACCTCCTGAACCAAAACATGGCTTCAATTCCACAGGCGCAAAGTGAATTCAGAATGGATGTCAATTTCTACTTTCAGTACATTGTAACCTGATGACATAACATGAAACCAGTTTGTCTGGGGTTAATCTTCCTTGGCTAGTGGGTATTACCTACTGGCCAAGGATGATTTCTACAGACCATACCACCTATTGATTTTTGCTGGCCAGTGATCAGTACCTAACTTGATTATCTGTAATAAACTATAAGGAGTTTTTAGCAATAGCACACACAAATATTATGAATCTCAGATAGTGTGAAAAATCTGAAAGTTGTGCTTATTATTTGAATGAAATTTCTGGCCTCTTATGTCGCTAAAAATTTAAATTTGAAGGGACAGCCATCTTAGAGATGGCCCCGGCGCATCCGGATATCTGCTCACGATTTCAGCGGAATCAGACATCCACATCCCCATCCGCATCCGCTGGTGGGTATCCGCGGATATTTGCCCCTTGAATGACCCCTAGGGTGCAAAATGAATGTTCCTTGGGGAAATTTCAGATTCCGGGAGCTGCATAAACAGCAATTCTGAAGTCCTTGCAGCCTGCAAGCCTTCAATTTTTTTTCTTCTTTTCTTCTTTTTTCTTTTTTCATTAATTTCTTACCACTTATTTTTCATGTTTGTTTTGAAATTTTAAATTTATTTCCTAGGTTTTAACATGTGTAGAATTTTGTGGTAATATTAAATTTCTTTAGAAATCAAAGGATCACTTTGAAAATTCTAATCAAGCACATTTTGTCAATTAATTTCTTATAGCTTATTTCTCAATATTTTCTGAATTTTTTTTTCCTACACTTTAAGACATGTAAAAAATTATGGTAATAATTATTT